CACGCACACGAACTGACACGCACAGACACGCACGCACACATACACACACGTAGACACAAGCAGACACACAGACACACGCAGACACACAGACACACGCACAGACACAACCACACACACAAACGCACGCACACACACACGCACGCACACACGCACGCACGCACCCACACACACACACACACACACACGCATACACACCAACACACACAGCACACACAACTCACACACACACAACTCACACACACACACCTCTCACACACACACACACACAACTCACACACACACACAATTCACACACACAATTCACACACACAACTCACACACAATTCACACACATCCACACCCACACACTCACACACCCACACACCCCCACAACCACCCACACCTCCCCCCCCACCCCCCCCACCCCCCCCCTCCCCCCCTCCTCCCCCCCCCATCCTTTTTCTTTATTATATACATAACCCCCCACCTACCTCGTATTCCGCCCGATAGCGAAAAAAAAAAAAAAAAATAAAAAAAAAAAAAAAACAAAAAAAAAAAAAAAAATAATAAAAAAAAAAAAAAAAAAAAACAAAAAAGCGACCCAATCCGGGACCTCCCATCCGGACTGTAAAAAATCAATACAAAGTTGCCGTTTTTCTTCTCAACATCGTCTTTCTTGTCGTCGACGATGCGAAAAACGTGGCAGGAATGGGACGCGGTGCACATCGCGCGCGGCAGTCAATCTGGGCCCGCCCACCTTGACTGCAAACAATCAATACAACGTCTTCGTTTTTTCCTCTCAGCATGGCCTGCCTTGTCGCCGACGGTGCGAAATATGTGTCAGGAATGGGACGCGGCGCACAGATGGGACGCGGCGCACATCGCGCGCGGCCGTCAATCTGGGCCCGCCCATCCTGACTGTAAAACATCAATACAAAGTCTCTACTTTTCCACTCAGCATGGCTTGCCTTGTCGCCGACGGTGCGAAAGATGTGGCAGGAGTGGGGCGCGGCGCACATCGCGCGCGGACGTCCATGCGGGCTTAGGGCCCCCCCATCCTGATGATAAAAAACAATACAGAGTACCACTACCACTACCACTACTAGTACTATTACTACAACTGCTACTACTACTACTACCACCACTACCACCACTACTACTACTACTACCACCACCACAACCACTACTCCTACTCCTACTCCTACTCCTACTCCTACTCCTACTACTACTACTACTACTACTACTACGACGACTACGACTACTACTGCTACTACTACTACTACTACTACTACTACTACTACTACTACTACTACGACTACGACTAGTACTACTACTACTACTACTACTACTACTACTACTACTACTGCTACTACTACTACTACTACTACTACTACTACTACTACTACAAAATACGAACTACGAACTACGAACTACTAACTACGAACTACGAACTACGAACTACGAACTACTAACTACTACGAACTACGAACTACGAACTACGAACTACGAACTACGAACTACGAACTACGAACTACTACTACTACTACTACTACTACTACTACTACAACTACAATTTAACTACAACCTACAACTACTCCTACTACTACTACTACTACTACTACGACGACGAACGACAACCTACTACTACTACCACTACTGCTACTACTACTACCACTACACGCGCCAGCACCCGTTGCGCCAGCATTCTTTCTTATGTTTGTGGGAGGGCGGAAACGTGTCCGTTGTTCCTTTCAACATGGCCAGTCTTGTCCGTCGACGATGCTAAAATGCGTGGCGGGAATGGGACTGCTGCGCGCGGAAAATGAATCCCTCGCGGGACGGTCCAATATGCGGTGTCCTGGGGTATCCAGAGGCCGCAACTGAGATGCCCGCGCAGCCCCCAGTGGTGCCCCCACTCACTGTTTCTTATGTTGTGGGAGGGCGGGTGGGAATGGGGCATGCCATGCTTGACTCGCTCGAGCTGGCTAGCTTGACCTCGCCACACCCCCACACCCCCACCCCCCCACACCCCCACACCCCCACACCCACACACAGACAGACAGACACACAGACAGACACACAGACAGACACACACACACATACAGACATACACACAGACAGACACACAGACAGACACACAGACAGACGCACAGACACACAGACAGACACACAGACAGACACACATACACACACAGACACACACACAGGCACACACAGACACACAAACAGACACACACACAGACACACACAGACACACACACAGACACACACAGACACACACACAGACACACAGACAGGCACACACAGACAGGCATACACAGACAGACACGCATACACACAGACACACACAGCCACACACAGACACACACATACATACACAGACATACACAGACACACACAGACACACACACAGACACACACACACAGAGACACACACAGACACACACAGACACACACAGACACACACAGACACACACACAGACACACACAGACGCACACAGACACACACACAGGCACACACAGGCACACACAGACACAGACACAGACACACACACAGACACACACACAGTGACACACACAGACACACACACAGACACACACACAGACACACACACAGACAGGCACACACAGACACACACAGACACACACAGACACACACACACACAGAGACACACAGAGACACACACAGACACAAAGACACACAGACACACAGACACACAGACACACTGATACACATACACACACACACGCACACGCACACGCACACGCACACGCACACGCAGCACACGCACACGTACACGCACACACATAACACACATAACACACAGCACACACACAACACACACACACACGCACACACGCACGCACACGCACACACGGAGGGACCAGTGGACGGAGACCAACGTAAATGTTTTGTGCTCGCATACATGCCACCACCCTGTGACTCTCTTCAGTGTGCAGAGCAAGCGCATGCTGCGCTTATCCAGTAAGCATCACAGAAACATGTGCTGGCAAAGCTCCGATGGACGAGAGCCCACGCATTACTGAAACTCCGACACGAGAGAAAACTGTACTGGCAGACCTGTATTGTACATGTGGTATCGATAGCGACACTTGTCTGCCACTGGAAGCATGAGAAAATGGTATCCGAAAATCAGATGTACGTGCATGCGAGAGTGCTAACTGTGACACATCGCCCTTCAAATTCATGCACCCTCTGACGTCGAGGGAGATGTCACCCATCTTGTTTTCTCGGCCACAGCCCCACGTCCAGACCGCACGCGGACATCGCTGGAGCCAATGCAGAAAAAGCCGAGACAACGGTCCCCAGCTTCCTTGGAGATGCCTAGGCACTCGGCCATCGCGTCGGAGTCGCGGCCGACGATGTTCCAGCTGCTCCAGTAGCCTGCCAGCTCCATCGACGTCGCCATGAGGTGCATATTCTGCACCGCGCACGCCGTCGCGGCTACCTCCTCCCACTCCGGCAGGCGCCTGCTCGGGACAGCCTCCCTCAGCATGCTGAGAGAGATGAGCACGTCGCACTTGCTCCACTTCTTCCTGATCCCTCTGTCCAGGAAATCCGCGTGCCACTCCTCGAACGTCTCCCCGCCGCGCTCCTCCACCGTGGCGGCACGGTTGCCCTCCACGGTGGCGTCCAGCACCTGCCGGATGGCGGCCTGGAGGAGGAGGAGGAGGAGGAGGAGGAGGAGGAGGAGGAGGAGGAGAGGAGGAGGAGGAGGAGGAGGAGGAGGAAGAGGAGGAGAGGAGGAAGAAGGAGGAAAGAGTGGAAGACGAGGAGGAGGAGGAGGAAGCAGAAGGAGGAAGGAGGAGGCGGAGAGGTAGGAGGAGAGCAGGAGGAGGAGGAGGGGAGGAGGAGGAGGAGGAGGAGGAGGGCGGAGGAGGGAGGGGAGGAGGAGGGAGGGAGTAGGAGGAGGAGGAGGAGGAAGGAGGAGGAGGAGGAGGAGGAGGAGGGGGAGGAGGAGGAGGAGGAGGAGGAGGAGGAGGAGGAGGAGGAGGAGGAGGAGCCTGGCCCCGGAAGACCACGAAGCGCCACGGCTCGTTGCGCTTGTGCGTGGGCGCCCAGTTCGCGGCCTCGAGCAGCATCCTGACCTCGTCGTCGGTGACGGCGTGCCCCCTCCCGTTGCCCGCCGCCGCGCCTGCGGCTGCCGGCGTGTGCCGCGCCCGGCGTCGTCGTCTTCGTGCCGGGGGCGCGCGGCAGAAGGCGTTTCTGGCCACGGCTCGGCTCGGCGCCTCGCACCGGCTCCCCGGCGCAGAGTCTCGGAGGACCAGCCCGACCACCCAGCGCCCCTCCTGGGCCCGAAGCGGCCCTTGTCTCAGCGCCTTGGCGGCATGTCCGGCTTTCTGCGAGGCTTTCTGCGCACCGCTGGCAATCTACATGTATGTATGCATGTATGTATGTATGTATGCATGTATGTATGTATGTATGTATGTATGTATGTATGTACGTATGTATGTATGTATGTATGTATGTCTGTATGTGTGTGTATGTATGCATGCATGCATGCATGCATGCATGCATGCATGTATGTATGTATGTATGCATAAATGCATGTATGCATGTATGCATACATGTATAAATGTATGTATATGTATGTATGTATGCATGTATGTATGTATGTATGCATGTATGTATGTATGTATGTATGTATGTATGTCTGTATGTGTGTGTATGTATGCATGCATGCATGCATGCATGTATGTATGTATGAATGTATGCATGTATGCATGTATGCATACATGTATGAATGTATGTATGTGTGTGTATGTATGTATGTGTGTATGCATATATGGATGTATGTATGTATGCATGCATGCATGTATGTATGCATGCATGCATGTATGTATGTATGTATGTCTGTATGTCTGTATGTCTGTATGTATGTATGTATGCATGCATGCATGCATGCATGCATACATGTATGTATTGTATGTATGTTATGCATGTATGCATGTATGCATGTATGATACATGGATGCATGTATGTATGTGTGTGTTGTATGTATCGTGTGTATGCATATATGTATTGTTATGTATGTATGTCGGTTTAGTCTGTAATGTCTGTTATGTATGTACGTCTGTATGTGTGTGTATGTATGTAGCATCTGCATGCATGCACGCAATGCATGCATTGTAGTGTATGTATGGAATGTATGCAATCGTATCTTATGCAGGTAGGCATCATGTATGCATGTATGTATGGGTGTGTGTATGTATGTGTGTAGCATATATGTAATGTATGTTATTGTATGTATGTATGTTCTGTTATGTCTGTATTGTCTGTGGTATGGTATGGCTGTACACTGTATGTCTGTATGGATGTTTTGTCGGTATGTGTGGGTATGACATGGATGAATCCATGGCATGCACATGCAAACATGAATACATGCATGCATGCAGGCATGAACCATGTATGCCGGTATGTAAGTGTAATGCATGTAATGCATGTATGCATGTATGCATACATGTCATGGCATGTATGATATATGTTATGTATGTATGTATGCATGTGTATGTATGTATGTTATGTATGTATGGATGTCTGTATGTGGTGGTAGGATGCATGCATGCATGCATTGCATTGCTTATGTATGTAGTGTATGTATGTATTGAATGTATGCAGTATGCAATGTATGCATAACATGTATGAATGTATGTATGTGGTGTGTATGTATGTAGGTGTGTATGCTATTATGGCAATGTATGTATGTATGCATGCATGGCATGTATGCTATGAATGCATGCATGTATGTATGTATGTAGTCTGTATGTCTGTATGTCTGTATGTATGTATGTATGCATGCATGCATGCATGCATGCATGCATGTATGTATGTATGTATGCATGTATGCATGTATGCATGTATGCATACATGTATGCATGTATGTATGTGTGTGTGTATGTATGTATGTGTGTATGCATATATGTATGTATGTATATATGTATGTATGTCTGTATGTCTGTATGTCTGTATGTCTGTATGTCTGTATGTGTGTGTATGTATGTATGCATGCATGCATGCATGCATGCATGTATGTATGTATGAATGTATGCAAGTATGCATGTATGCATACATGTATGCATGTATGTATGTGTGTATGTATGTATGTGTGTATGCATATATGTATGTATGTATGTATGTATGTCTGTATGTCTGTATGTCTGTATGTCTGTATGTCTGTATGTCTGTATGTCTGTATGTCTGTATGTCTGTATGTGTGTGTATGAATGTATGCATGCATGCATACATGCATACATGCATGCATGCATGCATGCATGCATGTATGTATGCATGAATGTATGCATGTATGCATGTATGCATACATGTATGCATGTATGCATGTGTGTGTATGTATGTATGTGTGTATGCATATATGTATGTATGTATGTATGTATGGATGTATGCATGTATATATGTGCGTGTGTGTATGTATGTATGTGTGTGCATGCATGTATGTATGTTTGTATGTATGCATGTATGTATGTATGTTTGTATGTATGCATGTGTGTATGTATGTGTATGTATGTATGTATATGTATATGTATGTATGTATGTATGTATGTATGTATGTATATGTATGTGTATATGTATATGTATATGTATAGGTATGTGTATATGTTTATGTATATGTATACGTATATGTATATGTATATGTAGTTATATAAATACATATACAGATATAGATCACATCATGCAGATCGCAGGCTTGAGGCTGTCACTGTTGCATTGTGCTGCGGCCAGTGCTGCGGCCCCCCTGGCGCCTCGATCCCAGCACGCCTCCGCCCCCCTGCCCCGCGCCCCCCCGCGCTGCCGGGCGGCTCCCCGCCTCCCCTCCGTGGCTCCCGCTCCTCCCCCGCCCCCGCCTCAACCCCCCCCCCCGGCTCCCCCCCGCCCTTTCGGGCAGGCGGAGCGCCAGTGGTGCAGGGGATGGCCCGAGAGGCTCCGAAGCGTCCTCGGAGCGGTCCGAGACGCTCCGAGCCGGCCCCGAAGCGGGCCGAGGCAGTTTCCAGGAGGGCCCAGGGCGGTCCGAGAGGGCCCCAGGCTCCGAAGCGGGCCCGAGAGGGCCCAAGGCCGCGCCGAGACGGCCTCTGGACGGCAAAAACTCGGGGATCTCCTGACTGGGGTCAACCCAAGCCCGGGTCAATCAGGCCTTGCAGGATCCTGCACCCAAGCCCGGGTCAGTGCGACCCTGGCCCTGCAGAATCCTGCAAGCTCCGGCACTCTGGCTGACCCCCGTTTGCATCGACCTCCGTCTCTTGAGCCCCGAACGCAGTCGAGAACATGTCTCCAAGACGCCCCGGGAGGGGGCTCCAAGAGCGCGGCTGCGGGCAGGCGCAAGAGCGCGCAGCGGATAGTCCTTCGGGAAGACGGAGCGCCGCTGGCGCAGGAGGGCCATCGTCTGCTCGACGGTGGGCAGCGGTTCGGCCTTGCCCTTGCCGTTCCCGTCGCCCCCGCCGTTCCCCTCGCCCTCCTCATTGCCCTTGGGTGGAGGAGTCTGGATGAGTCAGGAGGAGGAGGCGGAGGAGGAACAGGAGGAGGAGGAGGAGGAGGAGGAGGAGGAAAAGGAGGAGGAGGAGCAGGAGGAGGAGAAGGAGGAAGAGGAGGAGGAGGAGGAGCAGGAGGAGGAGGAACAGGAGGAGGAGGAGCAGGAGGAGGAGGAGGAGG